ATATAGTTGGAGGTCTGATTCTGCTACTGTTTATTCATAGGCTTGGGAAAGTATCTGATTTATTCTATAGACCGAGTTATTGGGTAGATTAAATATGAACGCTTTCACAAAGCGTTGCAGTGTCTGGAAATTATGATGAAAGCTCTATAATGAGTATCATATATATTTTATTGCCAGGGAGTGAAGTAGATAGTTCAACCTGCCACCTCAGATGGGGACAGGTGACAGATGAGACTGAGAAGGCTGAGTCTAGGGCCACTGTCAGCCTCAGGGATCGAAACTTGTTCCTATACTCTGATTATGCTTCTAGGTACAATATAGGCTGTCTGACAACTTTACAACAAGATCAATGAAAGGTCTGGACATCAGTAAAGGGTGTGACAGCTGAGAGGGACTTGAGATTAATAGTTTCACATCAGATAAGACTAAGTGATCTAGGGGGCCTCATTCTGTTTGTAAATGGAGACCCCTGTCAGTTAGGGGCTCAGCTTCAGCCCAGTGCTCCCTGTGAGAAGTGAGCGGCTCTCCGTGGTCCTAAGTCACACAAAGAATACCGCTCATTCTCATACCTGCAGAATCACAGGTGGGAGCCGGTCCCAGGTGCATTTGCTGTATTCTATCCTTTTCTCATGAAAGTGATGTGGACTTTTTCTCACTTCTGACCGGCTCTGGGGATCAAAGAACACTCACCATGGAGCCCGCACTTAGAACTGCTTTGTCTAGGCAGCCTCTGAGTGGGCACTTCTCCATTTAGCAGATATCCTATGGTCAGCCTGTAGAGGGCGTTGTATAGACAGGGAATAGTAGCTGGTGCGGCCACTTCCGGTTCCCACCTTCTGGCTTCTTGAGTTCTATCCAGACCACATGGCTGGGCTTGGTGAATAGCAGATAGAGTCCCACAAGACAGCCAGAGAAGGTGGTCTTCAGGGTGGAGATGAGAGAGCTTACTTTGTAAGCTGGAAACGCACAAGTCAATTTCTGGAAATCATTATCTGAAGATGTTTACCAAGTGGTTTATGAAGGCCAAAGAGGTCAATTAGCTAAAACAAACATATTTTTAGCTCATTAGGATTTGTTTAATACCCAAGTGACATATGGTCTCATCACCCCACTGTTTGCAGCCAATGGAAACCAGGCAGACTTACTGTCAGAATCAGCCTGGGGTGGCACACCACAGACACGAGGCCTCTCTGGAGTGACTGAGCCTTTTCAACCTCCACATGGGAAAACTCAACTCCAAGCTTGCAGTCAGAGTTCCTCTGTGAGCATGTATCTGTCACTGCTGAAGCCAGCCAAGCTCTGGACAGCAAGAGGGTAAAGACTACCAGGAAAAATGCTGTATTTGTATTTGTTTTTGTTTGTTTTGTTTTTGGTAACATGTACCACAAAGATGTCTTCCAAGAATACGAGATAGAAAGGTCCTCATGTATACAAATGCAGAGCTGTCCAGCATGGGCTGCAAAATGACCTAGAAACCTTACCACTGCCTAGGGAATGTGATACCTTGATTAGGTGACATGGGGTCTGGATTATGGACAGAGGTACATGCGTTAATACGTTTGTCTGTACACCATCCATCTGTCCTTATTTTGATGTGTGTCCTTCTCAGTTCTGCATTATCGTGTCAAAATGCCTGACATAAGCAAGTTAAAGGAGTTAAGTCAAGTATCGGTTCACGGCTTCAGAGCATTCAGCTGGCTCCATTGCTTTTAGGCCTGGGTCAGAGTGTGCTAGAGCAAAGGTGCTCATCCCATAGTGGTATGAGAGATGGGAGGGACAGAGAGAGAGGGAGGGGGCTGAATGAGAGAGGAGGGAGAGACAAAGGGAAAGGGAAGAGAGGGAGCCAGGAGAGAGAGAGAGAGAGAGAGAGAGAGAGAGAGAGAGAGAGAGAGAG